CTGACCAAGGTTAACAGACAAACTCACCATCCAAATAATCCAGGTCTTTTTGGGGTTTCTAGTTCCTCTGTGTAGCTAGGTCTAGTAAGATCGTGAATGTTAGTATGATAGCAAGTCTTCTAAAACTTGAAGTACGTAGAATTTTTCTTAGCAGTTAAAATTCTAAAAAGGAAAGTCAGGACTGGAGAAATGGCTCAGCAGTTAAGAGCAGCTGCTCTTCCAGAAGACGCAGGTTCAATTCCCAACACCTACATGGCAGCTCTGTCTGTAATTCCAGTTCCAGATCCAACCCTCACACAGGCAGGCATGCAAGCAAAATACCTAAGCACATAAAAAATAAAATGGAAAAAGAGAGAGAAAGAGAGAGAGAGAGAAGAGAGGAAGGAAGGAAGGAAGGAAGGAAGGAAGGAAGGAAGGAAGGAAGGAAGGAAGGAAGGAAACAAAAAGGAAGGAAGGAAAATGAAAAGGTCAAAATTAGGGGCCAGTGCTGGTCTCCTCTCCATAGACAATGTCAGATGTAGCATCACTTCTTTCTGTACTCTGCCACACTTTCTTGTTTCATTTGTGTGTCTTGTTTTTAAGAAGTCCTGTTTCAAAACATTACAAGAGATCTGAAATGCTGTTAGTAACACATTTGCCTAATAGACTGGATGCAAAACTCAGAATGATGTAATGTCTTAAATGATGTTCTCAAAATGGGAAAAATTTAAAGATACAGAAGAAAGGTATTCTAAAATAACTTTCAAGAAGTGGGGAATCGGAATCACATGCGTATGAGTATGTAAAGCAAGACGAGGCCTGAAGACAGCCTTGCTTGAGCAGCCTGGTTTAAGTCCAGCACTCTGGAGGCAGAGGCATGTGGGCCTCTGTGAGTTTGAGGCCAGTTTGGTCTACAGAGGGAGTTCTACACCAGCCAGGGCTATACGTGGAGACCCTGTTTAAAAACAAACAAAATCATCCTTGCTCTACCATGAGGTTATGTCCAAGCACTTTGCATTGTGGGTTCCAACTATAGCATTGTAAAACTAAAAAATACATAACTTTCTGAAGACATTAAGAGAATTTTTTAAAAAATTACAGTACAACTTTTTTAAGTTTATTTTTTTTTTCCTAAAGGATCTACTGAAGGTAATATGTTTACCTTCCCTTTGGATTGAGACTGAAACTGGAATACTTGTTGGAATTCTCAAGAAATTAAATGCGCTGAGATCTGATGATAAAGGAAACACAACTTGACTTAGGTAACAACCAAACAGAAAAAAATAAATAAGTAATTCAAAGTTAAAATAGTTTCCTTCACTCTCATTTTCAAAAACAACAAAACAAGTAGTCCGTAGTTGCTGCCCAGCTCGCTGCTCCGTACAATGCACAAAATAAACCACTTTTCTGTGCTGACCAGTCTTATGTCAGCTGGACAGAAGCTAGCTAGAGTCTCTTGGGAAGAGGGAACCTCGGTTCAGAAAAGGTTCTAAAAGCTTGGCTGGTGGGCAAGCTATCTTTTTGATTAATGATAGATGGGGAGAACCAGTGCATTGTGGGTGCTCCTGGATGTAACTGTCTAAGAAAGCAGGCCGTGGCCAGCCTGGTCTACAGAGGGAGTTCCAGGACAGCCAAGGCTACACAGAAACAAAAAAATAAGAAAAGAAAAGAAAAGAAAAGAAAAGAAAAGAAAAGAAAAGAAAAGAAAAGGGAGAAGTCTGGCTGAGCAAGCCAGTAAGTAGCATTTCTGCTTGGCCTCTGCTTCAGCTCCTGCTCTGACTCCTCTTCATGGGGTACTGTGATCAGAACATGTCTGAAATAAACCCTTTCCCCTCCAAGTTGCTTTTGGTCATGGTATTTTATCACAGCAATGGAAACCCTACCCAAGACGTCTTCCTTTTGTGGTCTGAAGAGAGTGTATTCATCACACCGGACTCTGCTCCACGGCCAACCCACTGCATTTTCTTTCATCCATGACAGATTTTAGTGTAAGATGAACCTTCTCCGACACTTTCTAATTCTAATGATAATAAACACAGAGAGAGGAGAGTCATTCCTTAGATCTTTCACACACCAGTTTACCAACATTTTTATGCCAAACCTAACTGAATTACTATGAAGCGCAAAATAAGAAAGATTGTTTTCCCGGAGAACAACCCCACTCAAAGTGACTAAAAACAACAAAATTTTAATGAGGAAAAACATTACACACACACACACACACACACACACAGACGCACACACGAACAAACAAAAAATCAGAAACTTGCAGATGAGAGGCTTCCAAGGCTGCTCAGAAAAACTCTTAGAAGAAAGGTCAGATGCTTCGAAGGTACCAGCATCTGCCACTCTTCACACATGTGCAGCACCTTAAAACTGTTTGTTCCCCAGTGGGAGGGCTCAAACCCAAGACCTTTCACATGCTAGGCAAATGCCCTACCAACTGAGCTAAATCTCAAGCTCAGTAATATATATATTGTTCCCCATCTCTATCCCCTCAGTAAATATTTTCAAGTTAATAAAAACAAAAAGAAGAAAAGTCAAACCAGGTGTGGTGGCCCACGCCTGTAATCCCAGAACTCTGGGAGGCAGAGGCAGGCAGATCTCTGTGAGTTTGAGGTCAGCCTGGTCTATGAAGTGAGTCCAGGACAGCCAAGGCTACAGAGAGAAACCCTGTCTCAAAAAAAAAAAAAAAAAAAAAAACAAAAAGAAGACAAAGACAAAGATGGGAGGAGGAGAAGGAGAAGAAGAACAGGAAGAAGAAAAGTCAGTATGTTTGTGATGTAATATTTAACTTGCAAAAAACAAGAGTCTCAGCAATCTGAATGTTTGCCTTTGAATATTGAGGGGAAAACATCCAAACATAAGTCTCTGGTAAATGACGGTTGGAATCAGGGGAGAGGATTTCATTACACTTATTCTCTCTTGTGTAAGTTTGAATTTGCTATAATTGCTATAAGAACACACTTTAAAACATAAAATAAGATTCTTAAGAGTTTAGAAAGTGGATAGATTTGCAGAATTCTTACTTAATTGAGAGAATTGTCACAGAATTTCTTTTGTGGGGAAGATTTACTGAAGGGATAATGGCGAGGCATCTGCTCTGTCAGGTGAGAATAAGATAAAAAAGCGGAGGAAGAAGCAGGGAGGGAAGGAAGAAGGGAGGGGTAGGGCGACATTTTAAGCAGGGTGGCTATTTTAACGTTGCAAGCCTTGGTTGTTCTGACGCTTCGACACCTCATTAACCTTCGTGTCATTCTGAAGTATTTTGCCATGCTCTGATGATTAGATACTCACTCGCTAACAACACAATGTTTTAAATGCAAGCCCTTCCCTGGAGTCATGGTGAATTAATTTTCAATTAGTTTTCATTAATGAACTTCAGTTTTATGGGCCTAATTGCCGTCCAGCTTCAGGAAATGGAGCAAGCTTTTTGGTCAGGTGTGGGCAGAGAACTGTGAAGACGCAAGAATATCCTGTGCTTTTTCAGACTTTACTTCACTCAATGTCTAGAAAGTAAATCAAATGCCCACCTACGGAGCCCGTGAATCTTCTCTGTGTTCCTCTGAGGCACTTTTAAGCTTAGTTGTATCCCATGGTTATCTAAAGGGAACGAAGTAGATTTCAGCAGAGAATAGGAACTACTGAAGGTCCCAGAGAAGTTGACAATGAAAAGAAATTATTTTATTTCTCTCTCTGGGGGAAAAAAAAAGACAAAAGTTGCCTCTGATGTCTTACTATAAGACTTATGTCTACACTTTCAGTGAGCAAATGAGACCCCAGAAACTAGGTCATTTCACTGTCTTTCTTCAGTGAGAAGAATGGACACCACTGTCCTCGGAAGCTTTCTGCTTCTCCAGAAAGACTCATCATGCCCTCCTTCCCCATACATGTCATTGTTAACTGTGGGGTAGATATAAGCCTTTCCAAGTAACAATTACACACTGTTGAAACAACCTCCACTTGCTAACACCTATCTGCCCGTCACATTGCATTCGCTCCTGAATGGCTTTCATGTGAAAGCAATACTAAATTTCTTCCTCCTTGGATTGTTTCAAATCACTATTAATTAGCACCATGGGACAGAACTTTGCTTAGCTGCTTTACAAGCACCATACATATAAATGATGCCAAAAATAAGAGATGTGATTTGAGCTAGTGTCTCCGTGTTTCTACAGCTCAGGAGAGTCCTTGCTCCTTCAATCCTTAGTTGTTTGTTTTCTCTTGTAGAAAAGGTTAGTACAGGTTTTCCAGCCTCAAGGAATTCTAGTTTAAAATCCTTTTCAATTAATCACAAAAGTAGATACACAAAGACAAAGTACACAGTAAAGCCACCGTTCTTGAGTTAATGAGCAACTCATTAGCACACCCACAAGCCCATACTGTAAGCACTTCCCAGGATCCAGAGAGCAGCAGCGCGCTGGGCCACAACACGTGACCTTTAGGTCTGTGTCCTTTCTATTTCCCACTTTAAAATATTCTTCCACACAGCCTTGGTACATCAACGTTACTATTTTTTATTTTTTAATTCTTTTAAACTAACACATAAAAATCACACAAACTATAAACATCCAAGGAGCATCACGTGATGATTCAATCTTAGTATATGTGCTGCCGAAGCGAGCACATATACTAATTGATGATTCAATCCTTGTCTCCGGTATGTAGTTTATAAATCCAAAGGAACATAGCTATCGCCTCAAACCATCATTTCTTAAGGTGAAACCACTCAAAATCCTTTCCTCTGTTTTTTTTTTTTTTTTTTTTTTTTTTTTTTTTTAAGAAATAGAATTTATTATGGGTTTACTGTCTAGACAACAGTATGCCTGAAAGAGCCAGCCACACCTGGCTTAATCCCACGACTGAGTTTACGTAAACAGCTCCTTGAGCAGGTGTCACTTCTCAGCCTGCTTTCCTGTTGGTCACGTGGAAACAACAATGCTTCCGTCACAAAGGTTTCACGAGGACTGAGTGACGGTAACTTGTGCAAAATGTTTTGCACCGGCTGAGCACTCAATACAAATATGGGCGTGTGAGGCTGTGGGGTCAACCGCTCATTCAGAAACAAGCAAAGCTCTCGAGGAAGGAAGTCAGCTTGCAAGGTCGTGTCGTTCGGGTAGGCAATATTTCTTTTATTAAGTCGCTGGTAAATTAAGACCGTGTAGCTAAGTCTCTGAGAACTGCAGATCTTGCCCTAACTCAGGCCGCCTGGAAGCCAGTTCAAACAGTTGATGAGATGCCTCCAGTTTCTAAATCTCAGCTTCTGATATGAAACTCAGGTTCTTAAATCCGGTCTTGTTCTCACCATTCCAAGGAGACCCCAGATTACTGACTCTACATTTTGTTTTGAACTATTCTGAGTTAAAAATCAACAAAATTTACATGCCCTGCATCTTCCTAGGACTAAAATAAATATTAATACATGTAGATTTATTAGGACAGCTAGAAGAATATGCAGCCATAGGCTTCCCTGATTTTGACTTACTCCAATGAGAAACTGTCATTTCCTTCAAAATGACCACAGAGAAAATGACACATATATGTGTGTGTGTATTTTTAAAATTTGAAAAATTCAAAAGGCTATTTTCCCCTCATGTTATTTCTTTCTTTCTTGTTATTTTTTTCTTTTGTTTTCTTTTGTTTTGTTTTTTCCAGATGGGATTTCTCTGTGTAGCCTTGGTTGTCCTAGACTAACTTTGTAGACCTTTGCTGGCCTTGAACTCACAGAAATCCACCTGCCTCTCCCTCCCTGAAGTGCTAAAATTATAGGTGTGCATAACCATGCCCAGACCCTCATGTAATTCCACCTTGATTTTTTTGACACCAAGTCAGACAGACACACTAGAAAAACAGAAACAAACATGTATATTTATATGTGTGTGTGTTATACATTATATGAATTTGTGAAGTGTTCCTCCTTTTTTAATTAAAAAAGAGAAGCTCTGAATAATTTCACTGAAGTTACTGTAAATATGTGAAATCCAAAGTAGAACTGAGGCAAATACCATAAGCTCCTATCTAACAAGAACCAAGTTACCAGAATTCTTTTTATTTTTGAGATCCCGATATAATTACACCATCCCTCCCTTCCCTTTTCTCCCTCCAAGCCCTTCCATCTACTCCTTCCTGCTCTCCTCCAAAGTCAGTGCATCTTTTTTACTAATTATTATTTCATGCATATTTGCATATACATACATATTCCTAAATATAGCCTGCTCAGTCCATCTAATGTCACTTGTATGCATGTTTTCAGGGCTGACCATTTGGCACTGTCTAATTCATTGGCATGCTCTTCCCTGGGGAAGGCCCACCTCTCCTGTTCCCAACTTTCCTCAGCTACCTACGCTTCTTTGAGTAGGGTTGAGATTTCATGGGTCTCCCCCTCCCAGCCCCCAAGCAGTTTGGCAATAACCAGAATTCTTTATAACCATAAACAATGGTAATTTATGTTCCTATAGACAGCCCTTCAGATTATAGGCCTCTGGTGGCCCAGGCCTATCTATACTCCCAGCATTTGGGAGGCTAAGGCAAGAGCCAGGTTTCCCAGAGTCAGAGTTTAGCCTTGGGTTACAGGGCACAGAGTAAGACCCTGTCTCTAAAAACAGAGAAAAGAAAGGAAGGAAGGAAGACAGAAAGACAAAAAAGAAAGGAGAGAGAGTAAGAGGGGGGAGGGAGAACTTCTGAATCATAGAGGAGGACAGTTATATTTGATTTATTTTCAATAGTAAAGTCATTTTGCTATGTTCTAGTATCTTAATGCAGATGACTGAGAGCTAAAAGTTCAGTGTAGGTAGAAATATTTGCCGCTGCAAATTAATAACATTATCATTGTCCTCAAACTGTTAAATATTTTTCACTGTGTTGAACATGGAAACGACAGTACCTCTGAAGAAAGCTGGTCTCTGTCGGATTTCTAAGGATATTTGTTCTCTTTGTCCTCTTTCTCAAGTGTACTAATATTAACACTGGCTTAAAGGATGAGCAACTTTATCATTTTTTTTCAGTTTTCCTAGTAAAACTTTATATATAATAAAACAATTAGACATCTTTTTTTTCTAAGAGATTCTGGTTCTATATACCTAACACCCTAAATAATTTTAAATGATTAAAGTGCAGTTACTTAGATATTTTGACAAGGAAAAATGCTCTGTGGGAAATATAGGCTGTTCTGCTGGGCTATCAAATATACACTTCATGCCTCGATTGCTGTTTGATGAGAAAATGATACACTTTGTTGTTCTCAGTGCAACTTTACTAATTTCTTCCAAGCTAGTTCCCTCTATTTTTTAACATCCATTTCAATAAATGACATTTATACATAGCTTGAATGTCCAAATGAAAACCTTTTTCTCTGCATCTAATTTGAAAGATAAATTATCCAGAACACTGAATGGTTCTACTGATATTTTTTTTCTGGTTTTGATTTTGTGACAGGGTTCCTCTGTATAACAGAGCCCTGGCTGCTCTGGACTTGCTTTGTAGACCAGTCTGGCCTCAAACTCACAAAGATCTGCCTGCCTCTGCCTCCTAAGTACATGTACTACCCTGGCCCTGCTGATAATTTTAAAAGCACATTTGTTTGCTTTGCTTGGATTTTTAAAATATTTCACTATAAGTATAGCCCAGTGGCAGAGAATTTGCCTCGTATGGGCAAGGCTCTGGTTCCTAGCATTGCAAAACTTAAAATAAAAATATTTCCAACATATGAAATTGTTTCATCATTAATTTTTATATTTATATTCATCAGCATAAAAAATGTTGTTTTGACAGACAGAAACCAAAGGAAGCAAGGAAATGTATAATTAAACCAGCAAGGTACTGTGACATCCAGTGCTCAGCCAACTCAGGCTGCGATAAGAGAGCCATTAGCGCGCATTCTTTTGTGTTGTGATGACATATGGAAGGCTTCCAAAATTAACACAGTATTTTGCTGCCTACTGGCTTGTATCACAGGCTTAACACAGTTTGCTTTTTGTTTTGTTCTCTGACAGACAGAAGGAGAGAGTGGGGGTTTTTTTTGTTTGTTTTTTGTTTTGTTTTGTTTTTTTTTAGTGGCTTCTGTATTTTGATAAGTACTTTTGAGTGTTTATAAAACATTAAATGTATCAAATAGATAATTTTAGGTAAGAAACCCATGAGAAATAATCATCACCACCCATTTTCTCTGCCATTGTCTACTCTGACGTTACCCGTTGCTCATTGAGGTAGCTTCTCTTTTCTCTTTCAAGTGATCCACCCTTCTTAACAGTCCGGGCAGCTGAAGAGATGGCTCAGCAGTGAAGAGGACTTGCTACTCTCCCAGAGGACACAATTCTCAGCCACGTATGTGGGCAGCTCTTGACCATCTATAACCCCACTTCCTTGGGTTCTGATGCTTCTTCTGACTCCTGTGGGCTCCTGCGGGCATGTGGTGTACACAGGTCCTCTCAGAGGCTCATGGGTCTTCTGAAACTGTAAGCCAGCCCCCAGTTAAGTGATTTCTTTATGAACTGCTTTGGTCATGGTGTCTCTTCACAGCAATAGAAAAGTAACGGGTTCAGAATTTCTATATTTTTGAAACAGATGTCAGTGTCACTAATGCCACTGAACTGAAACCTAAAAGTAGCTAAAATGGTAAATTTTATGTTAAATATGTTTTGCCACACAATAAAAGAAACTCAAGAAGAAATTGGCATGCTATACCACATATTTTTAAAAAACAAACAAAAAGAAACCTTAATATCCTGAGAACAGCATACAAGTGAGACCATATGGACAGTCTTGCCTTTTTTCCCTCTTTTTTTTTCTTTTTGATTTTTGAGACAGGGTCTATGTAGCCCTGGATGTCCTAGAACTCACTCTATAGACCAGGCTGGCCTCAAACTCAGAGATCTGCCTGCCTCTGCCTCTCAGAGTGCTGATTAAAGGTGTACACTGCCACTGTGGCTTTGGTGGACAATCTTAACAGGGCCCAACACTAGCCAGACATGGGTGAGGCTGTATGACAGTCCCCAGAGCATCCCAGCCTCTGACAGCCCTAAGAAGCCTCACATGATGTCACCCAGACTGTGGAAGCAACAAGTAAGCCCAGCTTGCCCCGTGAGATATCATAAAGTACTTTCTGGTTTGCAGATAGCCTGTCATGCTTTAATAGACAACCTTGCTCCTTCGACTTTCTGTAAGTCAGTCAACCTGTCAATACCCAAATGCCTGGAGAATGGTATGGGTTAAGAGGGCTCAGCCCAAATTTTGGAGATTCAGAGAAATATTTGGACACTATATGGCAAATGGTCTTCCTCACCTACATGGCCACAGCAACAAACTATTTTAAATACGGTATCCTGAGTTGCTAGTAAGTATTCTTGACATATGATGGCCAATTCAATCAATTATCAAGAGTTTAGAAATAGCACTTTGTTTTCATTCAAAATTAAATTACTCTCATTAAGTTCAAAAGGCAAAATGACATATCATAAAAGATAAAATTTATTCTCTTTACACATGGCAAACAGGAACATGGTTCTATTTTCACATAGCCACAAAAATATTCTTTGGTGATATTTTAGACACAAAATGGCAACATTAAATATTTTATCTAAGAAACTGAGGAGCCTTCACAGTGCCCACAGACCCTCTGTCCCTGGGAGAAAATAGCCACTTGAAGCAATGACAACTAGTCGCTCCAGGGAAAGTACCTGAGGCAGGAATGAGGAAGCCGGAGCCCATTGTTTGGGCCTACCCAAAAAGCATGGACATGACAAGTGAGCTCTCTGGAAGCCAGCTTCCTCCTCCACAGAGAGGGAATAAAACAGTTTTTCTGGTTGCACACTGGGATCAGCAATCTCAGACACAATCCAGGCTATAGCCCAAATACATCAGAATCCTTGTGGGTAGGACTCAGGCCTGAGGGTTTCAAAATAAAATTTTCTCCAACGGTGTATGTAGGGCTGTCTACATGGAAAAACATATGCTTGGTATGTCTGGGACCTTGGGTTTAGTCCTCAGTACCAGCAGAAAAAAAAAAAACAAAAAACAGTCCCTGTGCTGCCAGATGAGTGTGGGACAGGAGCAAGGGGAAGCAAGAAAACGTGAAGTGAATGCTTAGAGATCAGACTAAAACTTGAAGAGAGTTGGGGAAATGGCTCAGTGTTGAAGTGGAAGTCGCTGGTTTCTTTGGAAATTCAGTTGTGTCATGTGAACATGTTTTTTGTTTTGGTCCCAAGTGTGGAATGTGGGAATATTTTTCCCCTGTCAAATCTGATATCCAACAATTTGGATGGAATACACAGCTTTCTGTTTCCTGTTGAGACAAGAGCATATTTTCCTCCCCAAGGCAACACATTTCCTGTCTTCCATTTTCTCACACCTTTAATATAAAAAGGCTGATTTACTTCAGCAGTCCTTCCTAAAATCCAGTATATCTTAGCAGGTGTGCTACTTGTCCATTTAAAAATTTTTAAATCAGTAAATCATTATTTAATCTATTTGGGGAGATATTATATACCCCTTCTGTTTTATGATCATCTCTTTAAAATTATCATTAGATCTTTTCACAATTGTTTGACCTATAGATTATAAATTATATCTGTTTCATGTCATGTCATAATGTCTGAAAAACTGTGTTCCAATGGATATACATGCTGAAGCACCTTCAGCCCCAATCTGCAAAGACATCTCCAAGACAGTCACTGTCTCTAACAAATGTTTAACCTTAGAATCATGCTCTCCAGAATTTAAGGTGAAAGCTTCATCCAGTAATTGAACCTTGAAAACATGCATAACAATGTCCAGTCTGACCATGGTGACCCATAGCTGAAGCCTTTTAATCCAGCATCTCAATGATTTCTTCAAGTTTTGTAGATTTTGCTCATCTGGAACTACCCCTTTTAGTGTTATTGTAAGTTACAGACTGGATTTCTCTATTTTGATTCAGATTCCTCCAACCTCTGTTCTGTGGCCTTTAATTTATCATGTAATTTCTCAGTCTCTTCTTTCTCCAAGTCAGTCTTATCCTGATCTCTCCCATAGAGGATATATAAAACTAACTTTCACTGAAAAAAAAAATATTTATATGCTAAAAGAAACAAACTCAAATGGAATCCAGAAGCACTGTGTCACTGTATCTTCCTCCATTTTCAATCTCAAAACCTCTCCCTAAAGACTCTACTTCCCTTCTAGACCTCACCAGTTAAGATGCTTGAGGCTTCTCCATCTGTCTCTGGCTCCTGCTTCCCGGGAGAAGCTTTTCTTCAGCCTCTTTCACTGGGTGCTGACCCTTCCCCCACTCTGGGAAGTTATTAGGTCCACAAGTGTGTGCTCCTCTGGCCTGCAAGAGCCCCTTCTCAATGGGATTTAGCTTTCTGCCTTGGTAAGGAAAGTCTGGCTTTGAGAAGCTTGCTTGTGTTAAAGAGCCACTTTTTTTTTTCCTTAGCAAGGGCTAAAAGAACTGCATCTGCTTTACCTCTCTGGGGTTTGTATCAGTTTTTTTGGTTTTCTGCAGCCACCTGGAGGCCTCAGGAAGCTATGAGCTCCTGCCTTAGAAACTGCGGTTGCTCTCTTAATGAGCAGAACTAAGAAACTGCTTTGTAGTTTTACTTTCCATGTAAGTTCAGCCCCACTTGCTATGCCAAAATATTAAAGTTAATTTTGTATAACTGTGTTTCTCAGTTTCCCTCTTAACCTGGCTATCACACAAATAATTGAGGCTCTTTTATATTTGTTTAATAATAAGCTTCAAAGCACAAGAACTGAGCAGTTATTACTCTGTTATTAACCCTCTAAGCTAATTTGGCTTTCCTCCCAGTGTACATCCCAGAATACTTGCACTTTGTAGCTTTCCCTATTCCAGCTCCTCCTCCTGGTGGCTCTTGGACATGTCCCATGGGCAAATCCCCTACTTTTTCTAACTCTGCTTGCCCTGCCTGGCAGAAGTCCAGCCCTATTCTCTCCCCTGCTCAGAGATTGGCTGCAGCTGCTTTTTGGGCATTATCAGGGAGCAGACAATTGGAGAGCAGTGTTTATACAACATTAAGACAGGAGATTCTCAGAACAAGGATTGCAACCGGATATGGGGTACAGAGATCAGCATTTGAATTACACAATAACCTTATGCCTACATAGTGTGTAAACAGCTTGCTGCTCGTCCTTTCTAACATTCCAAACTCCGTAGAATTCAGTTGGCTAATGTCTCAGTTAGGGTTTGTATTGCTGTGATGAAACACTATGACCAAAGGAGCTTGGGAAGGAAAGGGTTTATTGGGCTTACACTTTCACACTGTAGTCCATCACTGAAGAAAGTCAAACAGGGCAGGAAATGGGAGACAGAAGCTGTTGCAGAGGCCATGGAGGGGCTTGTTCCCCATGGCTTGCTCAGCCTGCTTTCTTATAGACCCACAACCACCTGCTCAGGGATCTGGGCTCTCCCACATCAATCATTAATTGAGAAAATACACTGCAGGCTTGGCTCCAGCCCAGTCTTATAGAAGCATTTTTCTCATTTGAGGCTCTCTCCCCTCTAATGACTCCAGCTTGTGTCAAGTCGACATAAAACTAACCAGCACACACAAAGGAGCGTATGCAGATGACTGCTTAGTTCGGAGTCGCCCAGCACTGTTTGTCCAGACTTAAGCACTGCCGAAGACCTCTGTAGTTCCTGTCACGTGCATTTCTCACTGTTGGTACTGTTGGCTATTCAGCAGAGAAAGCCTTCCCTGCCAGCCTCCCTTTATTTGCTTTGCACACACGGTAAACTTTGTAAACTCTGCAGGAAAGTGTCTGCACCCCTGCTGAGGAGCTCCAGCAGCCAGGCCAGGCGGCTTCAAGTTCTGCCTCTGGGCTCCCCCTACATCTTTCCCTGGATCCCCCTCTTCAGCTCCCCGAGTGCCACACTCTGTGGGTCCCTGGAAGGGGTGCTCCGATCTTCAAGCTGTGCTGCTGGCCTCTCTACACCTCCAGACAGCAACACCTCAGGACTCCAGGACTGCTGAGGCTAACCTCCACAGCCCTTAGACCTGAGACAAGACGCCTGGAGAAACTGAGAAGCTGAAGCCACAGAGAAAACCACAGAACCTGAGGCCTTGGTTATGGCTGCTGCTGTCAGAGAACTGTGGAGGGAGGTGTGTTCAACTGGAGCTAGTGTGTGAGCTCCAGGCACTGTCTTTGTGGCAACAATGTATAAACTAGCCATTCCTCCAAGGCAGTGAGCTTTACATAGTCTGACACTGCCAGCCAGGGACCAGAACTAGAAATCTGACCCTTTAGTATAATAAGTTCATAGTTTACTTAAGGAAAGTTGTTTTGTTTAGAGTTCAAGTCCCTGTAAACCCCCTAGGGCATGAGTTAATAGACCCCTCCCCCCACACCTCTCTAACTGTCTAACTGGCAGTTTCAGCCTCTAACTGTTAAACCGGTCATCTCCAGCCCATCAGTGGGTCCCCTCCCAGATTTATGCTAATTTCAGGTAAAAAGACTGAACAAAAACCCACCAATCCCTAAACTTCCCCCAAGCTCAGGACTTGAAATCCCACCAATCCTCTCTCTGGAAATCCCTGCCCTGGAAAGCCCCACCCCCTAAAAATAGATTATATGAAGGCTGTGTTTGCCCAGCTTTCTGCTGTCTTCATCTGGTAGCAAAGGCAGGAACTCCGGGATTTTTCTCTCTTCTTCTGGATTCCTCCCTCCAATACATCTCTTTTTAGGAGATTTGTTGCCTGGTGTGACTCTTTTTTTTTTTTTTTAAATGTATACAATGTTCTCTTTGCATGAACACCTGCAGGCCAGAAAAAGGTACCAGATCTCACTATAAATGTTTATGAGCCACCACGTGGTTGGTAGGAATTGAACTCAGGACCTCTGGCAGTGCAGCCAGTGCTCTTAACCTCTGAGTCATCTCTCCATCAGAAGAAGCCAAGAAGCCCAGAAGAGAAGAATCGAAGAAGGAGCAGAGCTCAGTCTCCTAAACTCTTCAGCTCATCAGGGGTTGGGGTAACCCTCTCTTGGGAACTGCAACATCTCTGTTGAGGAGTCCTCCTCTCAGAGCTGTGTGGTTCTTGGGCTCCCGTGTCCCGGGATACCCTTTCCTCAGGACGCTGCCCCACCTCAGAGCTGAGATACCTTCCCACCCAAACAGGGTGTGGGTTTCCTAGACACCTTCCCACCCGATCAGGAAGGCCAACAGGAACACCAATGAACCAACCACGTATGGATGGTTATGGAGCCCTTCCGTTATCATTCATTTTTTGACATGGTATTTCCTTACGTGTGTATGCACGTGTGTGACGGGTGCCTGCAGAGGCCGGAAGAGGGTATCAGATTCCTGGAACTAGAATTGTAAGTAATTGTAAGCTGCCAGACATGGATGATAAGAACTGAATCCAGTCATCTACAAGAACAGCAAGTGCTCTTAACCTCTGATTCACCTCTCCAGGCCCCTGCCCTGCAAAGTCCCCAAGTTCTTGTAAGATAATATTCCGGCTTTATTTCAGCCAACTTTCTCTATTGGCAGTTCATTAAGTATACTGTAGCATGAATTCTTGTTCTGTTTGCTCAGTTGCTTCATTGTGAACCAAGAATACTTAAGTACACACACTTTTGATACTCCTTTGAAAGTGATGTTTGTGTCATTTCAAATTTTTTACAGACCTATACCTGGTAGCACACGCCTGTAAACCCAGCACTCCCGAGGTTTCCATTTTTGAGGCAGTATCATGGGCCAATGTTATATGAAGCATATGGCATCCACAAGTTTGTGATTTCTGACCACATAATGAGACTGCCTTGGAATAGTCAAAGAACAAATGGACAGGTGATTAAAACCTGTTCTATGTGGCCCAGGGCTAAAGCTATAATAATAATAATAATAATAATAATAATCATAATAATAATCATAATCATAATAAAAATAAACAGAATGTCAAGTTTCAACTCAACTCAGGGAAAAGCAACCAAAATGTCTTTACAGTGACGCCTCAGATTTGCCTCTGGACAAAGGAAGTTTTCCACTTTTACCACAGCAACGCTTGATTTTGTAATGGATAGATTTGACCCCAGGAGCTCCCAAAACTCTGTGCAGCATAAGGGACTCAGGTGGACTCAGGTGCACGGTGTGTTTTTCTGTTCATGAGCAAGGTGGTGCCCAGCCTGCTGCTTCTAGCTGGCAGCCACTTGTGGAGTGGGTTCCTGGCCTCTGCCTTCATCTATGGAATTTACCAATTTTTTTTTTAATTCTATGAGCCCCTTCTTTGACAGATGGTTTTAACTTCAAATTACAAATAATCTTCTCTCTGGGTACTGTCTGGGTCCCCAACTTACACTTAACATTTTAGGTAATTGCTTGCCGTTCATCATCTGAGCAACTTGCAAATTTAAACTTACAGCATGTGGTTGGTTATATGGGCATCTGTATGTAAACACATGTGTTCTGATTCAAATGACCCTGCTGCAGTATTCTCACAGCATCCTGAAGAGGAAGAAAGCAGAAATGACGGGTTCTCCAGACACTTAAAGAGTCCCTGTTTCCATCACTATTAATGTGTATGTTTCCACAGCTTCTCAACTCAGGGAAATATTGAAAGGTCTCTAGCTGTCATGTGGGTAGTTAGATTAGATTACCTGTAATTGTTTTCCCAAGTCTGAGAATTTTAGACTCTGATAATTAGCTTGAATGGAAATCAGCCTTCAAATGGGACTGTTTCCCATATTTATCTTTTAGCTACATATTATAAGTTATCCTGCCTGGTCCTCTGAGATCAGTGATGAGGAAGAAAAATGGGAAAAAATAAAAATACAAATTTGTTGATTATTTGGTTGCAACCAGGATGTCAAAATGAGTAAGACTTAATTCCATGCTCAGAAATCTCATTGTCCAGTAGGGGAACGGAGCTACTTCAGATCATTTCATAACATTATGAAGAAGCAATAGAAGAAGATATGTCTAGAGTATCACGAGATCACAGAGGAGAGACATTTGAGGTGGGCATATGATACAGGGCTTGAAAGTCATCCAGAGCAAATGATTACTAAGATGGCCCCTAAACTTTGCCTTGGGCAAAGAAGATGGGATGGTGGGTAAAAATGCTTTCCACACAAACCTAAAGGCCTGAGTTCAACACCCCAGTTTAACACCCTGGACCCACAATGGAGGGAAAGAACTGACTTCCAAACATTGTCCTTTGAGCTTTGTTATACATATTTGCACTCACACATACAAATATTATACATATCCATAATTATAACAATAATAAACTAATATTAGGGTAAAAATAGCAGGATCTGCACTGGTATTGCCAAGGATTATATCTCCGTGTCATGGGTGGGGTTGTATATGAGGGAAATTCTAGTTGGAAACAGGACTCCAGGGCCCGTGCAGCCACAGACATTCTTGTTGAAATCTGCTTAGCAAAAGGACTGGCGTGACTACCTGGTCAAATACATGTGCACTCAGTATTGCCCAGCACAACAGACAAGAACTATGAGTGGATGGTAGAATAGACACATGTTCAACACTGTAAGGGTTTCCAGAGTGATATATGACTTTAGATGCCCATGGGTAGTGAACAGGAGTTAAAACAGTTTCATCACTTCGGCCATGTAAATGTTGCCAGTCCTCTTCACTTTAGCTTAATGAAAAGTTAGACAAAAGCATGTTTAGTGTCTGCTAGCAGTTTTGAAGCATTCGTCACTAGGGAGAATTTCAGAAATTTTATTCGTGGGTTAGGTGGACACGTCATATAGCTCTGGTGATTATCAGTTTATATTAATCTTCTTTATACCCATCTACCCTCTCTCCTCATGGTGGTATAAATAAGAATGTCCCCCATAGGCTCATATATCTGAATGTCTAGTCGGCAGGGAGTGAATTTGAAGCATTAGGAGGAGTAGCTTTGTTGGAAGAAGTGTATCACTGGTGGGCTTTGAGGTTTCAAAAGCCCACGCTGATCAAGATGTAGCTCTCAGATGCTGCTCCTGTGCCATGCTCCTCACCATGAAGAGAAAGAATTAAACCAGAGGCTAAGAGCACATGCTGCTCTTCTAGAGGTCCTGAGTTCAATTCCCAGCAACCACATGGTGGCTCATAACCTTCTACAATGAGATCTGGTGCCCTCTTCTGGCCTGCAGAATACATGTAAGCAGAACACAGTATACATATTAAATAGATAGGAAATCTAAGCTGAGTGTGGGGCAGTTCCTGTGCAAGCACTAAGCACCCCATAAGGCCTCACAAGTGTGAGGCCAGCCTGGGCTGCACAGTATGATCTTGTTTCCATCTTTCTAAGAAGAGCACCTTTAAAATCTAACTAAACATCATTGCACTGTATAAAACTAGTAATATATTGCCATGAAATACTCAGTGTTCAAATTTCCACTAATCTCAACAATATAAAGTTTTGTGCAATACTTCTCAAAATTAGTTCACATATTACATCCGGTTCATTGAGTTCCACAACGATGATATAGCGGCCCCCTTTTTTTCTTTTTTAGTTTTGAAATGTGGTTTCACTCTTTGCTCAGGATAGCCTTGAACCCACTCAATAGCCCAAGCAGGCTTAAAACCTGCAATCCTCCTGCCTCATTCTCCCAAATTAGTGTCACAAACCACCATGCTAAGCTTTGTCTTTTGTCTTTCTTTTTTCTTTCTATGTGTGTGTTTTGTTTGCCTGTAGGGCTGTGCATCACCTGCACGCAATGCTGGAAGAGGCCAGAAGAGGGCATGAAATGAAGCCCTGGAAATGAAGTTAGAAACAGCTCTGAGCCTCTGAGTGTGAGCTGGGAATAGAGCCCAAGTCCTCCAAAACAGCCAGCCAACACTCTTAACCACTGCATTCTCTCTCCAGCTCCAGTATTTTATCTTTTTAATCAGAGATCATGCCTTTTTCTCTTCTTCTTTGTAGTATTTTTGTTAAAGCACTTGGGCTGTGGTAAGTGAGATGGCTCAGCAGGTAAGGGTGCCTGTCTCCTGTCCGGCCAGGCTGACCATCTGAGTTCAAGTCCCAGGACCTGCTGTGCAGAAGGAGAGAACAAGTTGTCCTCTGACCTTGACACACGTGCCGAGGTGTGACACACCCACACATATGCATGTTCACATACATAAATGGAATCTTTAAGAAAAAAAAAAAAAGATTTCTTCTAATGTTTCCCACCAACTAGATTTTGCTGACTCTAAATAGCTTTTCGTATTTTCTGTAAAATGTATTACTTTGAATTTTTGAGGTTAAGTACTTTCAAGTTCAGCTTTTGTGACAACACAACAGGACGCTCTGTGCTGAGCTCTCTCTCCAGGAAGTGGTCTGCCTACTGCTTCCCTTTCCTATGTCAGCACTGTTGATGCCCAGTCATCCCGGGCTGCAAAACAATATGATTTTCCACTCGTTTATATGTTGAGATGCTAAGGAAACACCATCATTTTTTTATGTGTATGGAACCACTCCATAATGAGAGACAGAGAAAACCATAATGAACAGAAAAAGAGACAAGCTATAAAGATGGTTTAAAGTAATTGCAAACCATATACCTCATAAATGATTAATTTCCAAACTAGGGATGAAATTTCTATTTCATTTCATACTCAGCAGCAAAAATAAAAAAAAATAACATAATAATAACAACAACAATAAAAGCAACTCATTATTAAAATTAAGCAAAGGACTTAAACAAGAGTTCTCATAAGCCTGTAAACCCAGCACTCTGGGAGGCAGAGGCAAGCAGAGTTCTATGAGTTTGAGGCCAGCCTGGTC